AACTTAACCTCTGAAGGAATGAATGATCCTGTGGCGCCTTAAGAGACTAACAAAAAAAAAAGTATCATGAGCTTTCATGGGCATAGCCCACTTCAGATGAAAGGGGCTAGGGGCCTGGGTACTCCCGTTCACATTAATTCTTATGGGGAAACTGGAGTCGCTTAACATCATTTCCCTTAAACTAAATTTTTCGGGAATGTAACGACACTGTTAAGCGAGGAATGCGAGTAGTTGACTAGATTTTAACCAATAAGCCTAGGCTTATCAGTTCTTGTATAGTTGACTATTCGTTGACATCCCTAACTGGATCTAGGCCCCATTGCTGTGTGGCCCCGCTTCATATGCCTTTCTGGCTTCACTGAAACACTTCTAACTGCTTTCTGGGAAGGGGTTTCTAGTCCTTCGTGCACACTCCCCTTATAGTAGCTCCGTTCAGGTTGTATTTCCCTAATTTTGTTTGAGAAGGTCAGGTGAGACCGTATCAAAAGCCTGATGAAAGTCAAGATGTGCCCATGTCACACCCTCTTCCTCTTCCTTCCCCTCCCCCCTTCCTTCCCTGGGCAAGGCTCCTTACTTTGCTAAAGAATGCTGTTAGGTTGGTGTGACAGGATTTGTTCTTCAACAGTCCAGACGGTTACTTATCTTATTATCTTTTAAGGCTGTGGTGTCCGTCTTGTTCTGGAGCAGTATCTACTGTAGTGGCTACTGCTATAGTGAACTAGCCACACTCCACCAGCCAATAGCCACATGTGGCTAGCGTGTTGGACCCCATGGTTTTAAGGGATTACCATTATCTTTCCTGGTACTAAAGTTAAGCTGATTGGTCTAGAAATCCTCCAACCACCTGTTGTCCTTATTTTTCCTTGTATCGATTGGCACTATATTAGTCTTTTTCCAGTCCTCTGGAATCTCTCCAGTCTTTCATGGCTTTCCAAAGATTATCGCTAATGGCTCAAATACCTTCTCGGTCAGCACTTGAGGACAATGGGTCTGAAGTTTTCCAACCTCCCTACCTCAGCCCTGGGGCAGCTTGAACCCCAACCCCCTCATCCCTGGCCCCACCCCAGAGCCCTCATCTTCCTGAACCCTCTGCCTCAGCCCTGAGTCCCTTCTCATGTTCCAATCCCCTCAGCCCCACACCTGCTACACATCACCTCCATATTGGTACATGTAACACAATTCATTCGCACATGGATATACAAAATTAGAGAACACTACTTATACCCTTAATGACTCTTGGAAAAACTGCCAACTGTCTTGAACTGATTTTCCCCTTGGACTTGCTTTGTATTGGATCTGAGGCCATGTCTTTGCTCTGGGAAAGATCAACATTGCTGCAGTTGATCTTCTGGAATTTGATTTAGCGGGTCTAGTAAAGACTTTCTAAATCAAACTCAGAGGTGCCTCTGTCAGTGACCAGTTCTCTTGCTCCTGCAGGAGCTTGTTAACATGTACATTCTTGAAATTCATTATTTTTATTGTGATGGTTTCCTCCTATCGTTCCTTAGAATCATGATTCTGGTTTAAGATTTTTGTCATGGATGTTTTTAATAAAATCCTGCCCAGAATGAAGGCAATAAATGACGGAAGCTGGAGTCCTGCTGCCCAGCACTGAAGTCACTGAGGTCAAGTGAAATCATGAAAACCCTGTCCTTTGTGACCAACTTTTAGCCCTTTATCATCCCCTCATTTCATTTATGCCCAAGAGGCTTCTGCTTTCAGATTCTCAACCAGTTCCTCCCTATTTGTCAAAATCAAATCTAGAACAGCCTCTCCACTACAAGCTTCCTCCACCTGCCGAAATAAACTTGTTTGCAGTGCATGCCAAGAACTTGTATAATCGGTACTCTTTTATTTATTTATTTATTTTTATTTTTTCCTAACAGATGTCTGGATGACTTTAAAAAAAAAAAAAAAAAAAAGCCTTGTCCACCTCCTCTTCCTAGTTGGATGGTCTTAACCCTACCATGACATAACACTTATTTTTTACTGGTTTTATCTTTACTCAGTCTTTCAACAAGTCTGTTTCCTATTTATCATTTCAACTTCAGTTCAAATATATATAACCTTAATATACATGGCAACGCCACCTCCCTTTTCCCCTGCCAGACCTTCCTGAAAAAGCAATGCCCGTTTTTTGCACTATATGTTGAATAGCTACGTTCTTTTTCAGCAGTACTTCATATGGCATTGTGTGATCTTGAGATCCTTCACTGAATATTGTGGAAAGCCTGGAATAGAGGAAGGTTGATGGAGTTTTAAAGTCATGATCTTTTCTTGAGGTGAGGAACCCAAATTCTTCTGTGGTGACTTCTGGTCCCTGCTTTTCTAAAATATTTGTGATGCCTGCCTGTGCTCAGAGCTTTCTCAAACAGCGGTAGGGTGAAGCGGATGTGAGTCTTCTAGTTTTGCTACTTCCTACAGTTCTGAAACGAATCGGAGTACAGTAAATCTGTCACTAATTTGTTTTAAAGCCAAAACTATGAACATCAGCAGAGGCACTGGAGCTCTGTGGCCTCAGGAAGACAGCAGTGATAAAGTTCATACTCTTAATATCAATACATACAACTGTAAGGCCTGGAAAATTACCCAAGAATGAGGACAGGGTGGAGGCCTGTATGCTGAGAAGCAGTACTTCTGAAAGAGTCTGAAAGAGTCCCCCCACTGTCTCTTTGTGCAGGGGGAGGGGAGCCAGCTTAAAAGCCAGTTCCCCCCCAGAACCATTTCCAGTGTGCTGCCTGCCTCCCCTTCCCCCATTACCTCTATTAGAGGCAGCATCCGGGGTGGTGAGGCTGCTACAAAGCAGCCTCTGCCCTCAATGGGCTGAGGCTTGCTACAGGCAGAGGCTGCTCTGGGAGCAGTCTGTGTCCGTGGGGGACCCATCAGGGAGCTGGGACAGAGGCTGCTGCCACCAAGCAGCTCCTGTTGGCAGTGGCCTGGGTTGGCCAGCCCTGGCAGCCGCAAACGGGCTGCTGGACTTGGACCAAGCAGTCCCGGCTTGCGCTGGTCCAGGAGGGTGCGCCTCTGCTCCCGGCAGCTCTTACTACATTTAAAATGCAGAGCTGCAAGGAGGTTGACTCCAGGAGCCGGCACGAGCCGGGACTGCTCACCCCCACTGCAGCTCTGCAGAGTGGTCCTTTTCGACTGATCATGCAGTCGTTACAATTTGTGTTGACAGCCAGATAATTGCAATTTAACTTACTTAATATTGGCCCTTATTTGCATGGTGGTAATTGGCATGGAGCGCTTCATTTTAGAGGCTGAGTGCCTAACTTATTTTCTTTTTTGTAGCACTGATGCGAGCTTTGTTGTGCATTTAAACCACTGTGACACTTTGTGAAATTATTTTCCAATTCATGCACATGAATAATACAACTCATTTAATACCTATAAATACAAATGAGGGAACATCCTGTTCAAAAATTGTTTTAGGACTATAAGGCTCAGTTCACCGTCTTTCATAAAAGTAACCAGTAAGCCCATACCGTAGCTTATTCTTGTTGCAGTTTCTTCAATACAAAATAGGAAAGTGATACTAATTAAATGATGTTGCAGACTTAGGAGTAATTACTTGCATGAGTTATAGATCTGTTAGTTGCAAATCAAAATAGTGTTCCTCGGTAAGGAGAGTTGCAGCAGTGTGCCCTTGACACAACTGATTCCAGTATTTGCTCCCTATTGGAAAGGTGTTTTAAGATTAAACTTTGAGTGAAGGGGTGATGTTGTAAATTTTGGGTAAATAATTGTGATAGATTTTAAAAATAAAGCTCATGCAAATGTAGGGGTGTAAATATCAAAGCAGTTCACTGGCTAAACAATGACAATTATTTTGTTTAGTCAGTTATCCAGGGTGGGGCTCCTACTATTGCTGTTGGGGATGGAGGCTGCAGCACAGCTGGGACTGGAGCTGTGGTGGTGTGGCTGAGTTCTTGAGATGGGACAGGCACTATGCAGCTGGGAGTGTTTGGCCAGGAGGTGGGGTCGGGACTGCGGGAACCATCTGCCCACCATGCTGCCCTACCTGCTGCCCTGACCTCCTGAAGTAACCGTGTAAGCATTCCGGTACAGTTAGCCAATTAACCTTTTACGTCCCGAATACAAATTGAGAGCTTTCTGCTCAGATCAGGGTATTCTATCACATGTTGGTAATGTAGGCTGTTTCTCCCCTTAATTCCCATGGTAGTTGCATTTCAGTAAACTGTTTGGCGAACGGGATAGATAAACAGGGTCCGGCACAGCTAGGTTAAATCATGAGGCTAATTTGAAAAATGTAGGTCCTGATGTTTCCCTGCTCATTTGATTTCAGAATTCATCCTCACTCCGACAGCAGGAGCAGTGAACACTGGAATGATGGGTGCTGGGGATGTGTCCACACTCTTGGACTGGAAGTGGTTTCCATCCTATTCAGGGTTTTCAGTTGGGTTCAGTGGCTCTCAGCAGCCCCACTATACCAATTGTTCCAGCAACCTGGCATTAGTCACTTGCTGCTTACCTGCAGACTAGCACTTTGTGGTTTCTCTTGTGTTCTTATTGCTAAGTGTTAATGGGTTTCTGTACTCTATTTCTTGATGTCAGTCTGACTTTCTGCTCCATGCTTTTTTGTGTGTGTTCAATTGCAGGTGCATGAACAGCGCAGGAGATAATTTTGCTTTTCAGGGATGATGTGGAAAGAGACTTTGTGAGTAACTGTGCCTAAAAACAAATGTTTAAACTTTACTGCTCCTATGAAAATGAAGTTGAATTTGTTTTCCTTATTCCATGTTGCACTGGATAAGCTTTTAGTTTGTGACAACTGATCATGCTTCAAAGTCTTACTGAACTCAAGAAAAATATTAATTTGAGGTTCATCCCTTCAAAAACAGTTTAAAATGTACTTTGGACAGCATCTTACGTTTGTAGAATAGATTACCCATACTGTTAAAAAAGCCATTGATGGCCGGAACCTACTTACAATGATTGATACATGAGTGAACTTTAGTTTTAACCATGCAATATAAGTTGCCCTACAGATATGAATAATATATAACCAGTGAGGCCTGTTCTCTGAATAATCTTTGGCAGGATTAACAAGATACATTTTAAGAGTACTTTCTGATAACCTTAGTGGCCATGCTCCCTGGCAGAAGGGTTAAATTAGCCACCTAAGGGTGAGCTTTCTTCACTACTGCAAATAGGGCTTTGTCAATTTATGAATTAAGTCTCTCTAATTCTGGTTGAGGACTCTGATTTGTACCACACAAAGTTAAATCGTAGTAAAATTCTGTAGTGTCGTTCACTCTGAAAACCAGCTTTTCACCTACCCCCCTGACATGTACTGGCCATATGACAGGAAACAGGCACTACATCATAGTTAAGCAGAGGAAGCAAAGAACAACTATTGGTCTTGTTTTTTTCACCTCCTAAGGCAAAAGGAGCTATCCATATAACTACTTATATTGAGCTCCAGAACTTTGGTGAAATTTCTAAACCTCTATTTTTGTGAAAATTTGAGAGTCTTTAATGGCCTCGTGTGTTCAAGGCCTTGCTCTGCTGCCTTATTTGACACCATACCTCGGTCATTATGCTATTGCCGAGTTCCACAGTGCAGTAAAGACTCACCAAGCAGCTCTTTCCTGCACACCATCAATGTCTGCCAGAGATTCTTAGGAGTAGTATTACTGTAACCTAGTGTAACAGCTTCAAATGTAGTATTGCAGTACTCTAGGTCTTTGAAATAGAGTTCTGTCCCAGCCATATTATTGTCATTTTAATTTTACTTTCATATACTATACGCATACTGTATTCCTATTTAGGTGTGTTCCAGGCTCTGTTCTCTGGATGTTTTAAAGAGGTGGGGTAGCTATGTTGATCGCTAGATATTACAAAGTGTGGTTGAGATAATGTCTTTTTTTGGACCTGCTTTGGTTGGCGAGGGATACAAGCTTTCCTACTTACCCAGACCCCTTCTTTAAAGGATTAGGTCAGGGAATGTTCTCAGAATGCCACAGCTAATACAAAGCGGAACAGACTGTGTATTAATTACTTACGGTAAACAATGTCAGAGACATTCAATTCACCAACATAATACTAGCTCACATAAGTAACAGCAAATCTGTTTGTTCTCTTCCCCGAGGAACAAGCCTAACTTCTCTTTGGGCAGGCCAGACCTTAAGTTCCAGAGCTCAGTGAAAATTGTATGCCTTGCATGACTATGGTCACTATCAAAAGGGGATCTTGGTTTATACGATGTGGAAAAAAAGTGACTAAGAACATAATTATAGTCCAGAATTTTCTAATTTGAATTTTTGAAGACAGTTAAATGTAATAAAATTCAAGTTTGGTTAAATTGATTCATCAAAAGTAGAGTGAGTTAAAAAGTGTCACATTAGCCTGCCCACTTCAGTATTTCTATGTATTAAGAGCAGGGTGGATTGATTTCAATCAAGGCGATTCAAATCCTGTCCCACAGATAGCACTTCATATATTTCTTCAAACAACAATGCAAATCTGATCACTAAAACATGTCAATGTACATCATTTTACCACATCTAAGAAGATACGCTTTGTGATTTTTTTTTTTAAAGATAACTTGCTTTTATTTATTAATGAAATAGTACATGATACTCATTATCAGTGTCAAGGGAAGATGCAGCAGCACACTAAGACTGGTAAGAACTAAATCTCTCTCAAACACAATAGCACTAATATTTTATTAAACTAAACCTTAAATGTTACATAAATATTTCACATTCGCATTTGCAGCAGTCTCCTGAGTTGCCAGTTGATAGTTGTCCTTAAACTCTTTTTAATTTTCAAATTTTATTAACTCCGTCAGACAAGTCTCCAAAAACACTAAATATACAGTGTCCTTAACTTCTACAACTAGCTCTCATCTTCTCTACTCCCACTGTTGTTTTGATGCACATCTGATTCCGAGTTATCAAAAAAGCTAAATCTGACTGTACCTAGAATGCACTTAATTTTGCAGTCAATTAAGCCGCATTGAAAACCATATAGGATGGGGTTCCTTTAGGAAAGCTGAGTTATGCTGAAGTAAAATAGGCAATAGACTTGTGACATCATCATTATGGTCTGTGTCCATGATCTTCCGAAATAAGAGGCATGCATTACGTAATATAAGAAAATGACACTCAATGGCAACTCTAGATTTTGTAGCCTATAGAGCTAAACGTCTTGCTTGCCTATAGATATATAAATGTATTTCTTTATGGATTTGATTATGTATTTTTTTATAATAAATTACAATGTTGGCAATTTGGTTGAAAGACAAAAGACTACAGGTCACATCCCGTATGTTTAGCTAAGGCAAAGTTAATATTTTTGTCTGACCTTCCACCCAAATAGCAGTTAGCTCGCATATATTTGGGATCTTTCACCTAGGTAGATGGTGATAAGATTGAGGGACTTGCCGTTGCATAAGGGCTTCCAAGAATACCCTCAGACTTAGCAGGTACATTATTACTTAGAAAAACCCAAAATAACTGGTCAAGACACCAGACTGAATAATCAGGTAGGACAGAAATAATAAACATGAGAGACAACCACAAAAGGCCCGTGATAATGAATTGACATGTATGACAATAAGTTTAAGTTGGTGATATACTGACCTATTGGGAAATGACACTTCAGTGAGGAAATACAAATAAGGAGTAAAGGAAACATCCTCTACTGAATATGCATCAAACACAAAAGATAATAAAAGTGGCATCCCAGCCTAGGGTGGTAGAAGGACTTGTAGTCCTTGGGAGGTGCCAGAATGGTGCCCCTGGTGGTGATGGGGAAGGTGCAGGTGATGAGGCAATAACTTTACAGCACCTGGCTCATCAGTATTGGTTTGTCTGATACTGTGGGGAATAAGATAACCCAGCTCTCAGTTGCCTTGAATTAATGGAGATAATGGGGTGGGTGGGTCTGTCTGTCTGTCTGTGTGTTTTTCCTCCTTTTACCACTTCTGTGGTTTTGCTGCACTAAGTTTCTTCTAACAGGAGCTATTGAGTTAATCATACCTTTTTGTCAGTGGGATCAATTTTAGCGTCGGCTTTGTCAAATATGTTTTAGCTCTTCACTGGTCTAAATCTGAAAAGTAAAGATTTAAGATGCGGGGGGGTTTTAAGTACCTCATTCTGTCGCAAATTTCCCATTACACTTTTTAAATGTTTTGATTCAAAATTATTAGCAGCAGAGCCAGCAAAAATCTGCAGAACTATTGAGTTTATCTGGTAAGATGCATGAAAATCTTAAACTGCCTGTACTTATAAATCCAGATGTGTAATATTGCTGATCAAAGAATTCTTGAATGTCATAAAGACCATACTTAGATTTATAAATACACACACATGCTTCTAGGGAAGTTACATTGAACAAAGACAGACAACTAAATATTGACATTTTAGAAGTACTCCTGTACAAATATAAAATGTTTAAATACTAAGATGAATTGGAATGCCTGGTATTAAATGGGACTATTATATAATAGGCATAGCAGAAACTTGATGGAATGAATATAATCAATGGGACATAATAATATAGGGGCGCAAAATATGAGTGACAATGTCGTGCTGGTTGGGAATTACTACTGTGCCAGAGTATACAGTCAAATATAGTGCAAATCTTAACTGAATAAAGTAGCACCATAGAGACTCTTGGAGAGAAATTCTATGCTTGAATGATAGAGTATAGGAGTTAGGAATATACTATTATTCTCCTAACTAGGATGATGGAGGTGATTGTAAAATGCTCAGACTAAAATAGCTACAAAACCAGAAAATCCAGTAACAGGGGATTTCAACTATCCGCATTTTGACTGGGTACATGTCACATCAGGATGGGATGCAGAACGACTGCTACTTAGAGCTAGTCCTGGAACCCACAAAGGGAGAAGTACTTTTTGATTTAGGAGGGGGAAATGCCTGAGCTCTTCGCCAGAGTAGCATTTAAATTAAGAAAGAGGAACTGCACGAATAGGACACTAGTTGAGCAGAAATTAACATGAACAGTCATAAGAGTGAAATGCCTGCGAGCTACGAGGAAACTTTTCAAAAACATAATTAGAGGCTCCAACTATATATATTACTCTCTACCCTAAAACACCAAACATATGCCACCATGGCTAAACTGAGCAGAAGAAGCTGTTAGAATAAAAAAGGCATTGTTTAAAAACTTGAAGACCAATCCTTGTGAGGAAAAGGAGAATAAACTCTTGACAGGTCAGTTTCCTTCCCCCCCCCCTCCCAATCCCAATTCTACTTGAAGAGCAACTAACAAAAGAGAGAGAAACTAAAAGCAAATCAAGCACAGAGGCAGCAATCTGCCAAGGAATACATCGGGCTGCTGGCAGAGCCAGGTGTTGAAGGAGCACTCAGACAAGGCCACTACAGGACCTAAATGCATTTTCTGCATCAGAGGATGTTTCAGAGATAACTGAGCCGATCTTTTTTGGTGACAGATTTGAGGAACTCTCCTAGATGTACATGTCGGTACAAGCGTCTGATACTGGACAGCAAGAGCTGGATCACTCAATAATTGCCCTGTTCAGCTTCTAAAGCATATGGCACTGTCCACGGTCGGTAGGTGGGTGGGGAGGAAGGGGAGGGGGAGGCACGCACACTACTGGGCTAGGCAGATCATTGACCAAGTACGGGCGTTCTTACATTCATGATGGACCTCTGGAAGGCTGGG